AAATGCCTACTCTGATACCAATTGAAATTCTGGTATCAGATATGAGATGTCGAATGAGATATCACGACACAAATATCTGAGGATAATGTAAAATGCAACAAAAGTAAAAACAATAAAAACACAAGGGATTGTTAACCCAATTCAGTGTACAACAACACCTACTCTAGGGGCTACCAAGTCAGGGACAAGTCCACTAAATAGAATCAATTCATAGACCCTTAATAAACCACCAGTTTACGATCTAATCACTTAATCACTACTCGTGCTATACTTCTACCTAAGACACACCTAGGTATGAGGCCCTCCTCAAATCGCTTCAATCACTTTAAGTGAAGAACAACTGAAATAACAAGTTTTAAAGACTTCATTCATTCAATGCTTAAAAGCTTATGAATGATCCACAATTAACAACTCAAAATAACAACTCAAGTATTAAATCAATGCTAGAGTGTATGACAATTAAAAGACTTAAACTTCTAAAATAGAAAGAAAGTATTCTTCTTCAAAATTTGTAGTACAATGAATAAGGAAGCAAGTCCTTATAAAGGCGCAACAGTGGGCTTGGGCTGAAAAACAAATATTCCAATATTTTGAATATTTCCATGAAAACTGGCCATGATATCATCCATAAGGATAAATCAAATAGAAAAAATATTCCTCCATATTTTTTGCAGCCTATGAGTCACAAATCCTGAATTATGGCATGCATGAAAACAGGAAACAGAAAACATAAACTGATATGAGTTGCGTTCATCTCAGGAGGCAGATGTCAAGACATCTTCTTTGACATCATTCAAAACAGTTTGCTCCTAATGTCAATACATTTAGAAAAACATTATCAAAGCATTGTTTTACCAAAATTGCTGCCAACAAACACTTACAAATGGAATGGTCAATTGGGCAATGGCTCAAGCTCTTAGATCATATATCAATTAGCTGTGTAAACATATGATTATGGATAGATTTTCAAGTCAAGAGGCCTGCAAAGCAAGACTTTGCAACATAGTTGTGGGATTTGGTTATGTGTTCTTCATGAAGATACCTTGTAATTCAAGAATGAAAGCTCAACTTCTTTTCTTTGATTCTCCTAGATCAAACATGATCTCTTCAAGTTCTTGGACATTTTGGAAAGCTTGAAACATTTTATACAACCTTCATGTTTACCACTTGGGCTAAATAAACTTGGAACTTGGTGATAATTGGCCAAGAAGTTAGGACAAAAATTTGCCTAAACTTGCCAAAATTTTCACTAAGTGTTTTATGAAAAATGTCATGACTTTATGAGCTTATATCTTCAAATATAATCATTTTTTGGACAACAACCCTAAGTAACAAAGTTGTAGAATTCATCAAGATCTACAACTTTCATGTTGAAAGTTTTCCTTGAATCATCTTACATCTTGGTGAAAAATTGTCATGAAGTAATAGAATTATCAAGGCTAAAAAACACTTAGAATTTTCTAAGTCTCGAAAATATTAACTTTTTGTTGACTTTCTTGACTTTCTTGATTCTTTATGATCAAGTTTGATATTTTTTGATGTCTTGATGAGTTTTGATCTTTGAAATTTAATATTGACCAAAAAGTTAAAGTTTGACTTTTTGTGTATTAGTTGACTTTTCATCAGTTGATCAAATTTCAACTATCAATCCATTGATCTTGAGAAATTATTTGAGCCATGAAATTAGGTCAAAATGTTGTGTTTGAGTCCTTGAGATCATGTTTCAAGCCATTAGGTCATGTACTAGGTCAAAAGTCATTGATCAGTCCTTCTCAGTCAAAACCCTAATTTTGATAAATTTGCCCCTTTGATGATTTGAATGCTTTTCTTGAGGCATTGTGATCAACCCTTGGTAAATTGATAAATATCACTTAAAAATGTTGATGTTGACCAAAAATCATGAATTTTGATTGTATATTGACTTTTTACTCAATACAACTGATTTTCAATCATCAGAGCATTTGACTGAGCAATTTTGTGATGCAAGGCTTGAAACTTGGTATGAGCAATATTGAAGACCTATAATGAACCATGGAAGTCATTTAAGGCATAAAAATTCCAATTGTCCTTGAGAAAATCAAAACCCTAATTTGGAGGCTCAATGCTTAAGAGGTGAGCTTATCTGATCAAACCCTTGAGAACCCTTGAGCATTTGAGATCTTTGGTGAGAAACGTCTTGAGAAAAGAGAGAGAAAATTTTGGGGTACAACAGGTTGGCATGACCCTCCCTTCTACGCATGTCTACTGCGTTAGACATATGGTAAAAAATTTCATATGGGAGATCAAAGACAAGGCTCTTCGCAAAATAGTTACGAACGCGGGGTATACATTAACACAACCTTCATTCAAAAACTATCACAACAAGATTATATTGTCAATTCAGATGCAGATAGGTGGGTTGATAATCTTCCAGTGGAGAAATGGATGAGGTCATACGATAATGGACAACGATGGGGCTACATGACAACAAATCTTATTGAATCAATGAACGATGTCTTCAAAGGCATACAAAACCTCCCAGTAACTGCTTTGGTGAAATTAATATATTTTAGGATGGCTTCGTTGTTTGTAAAAAGAGGTGAAATATGGAACACAATGTTACAATTGGGACAACTATGGAGTGAAAGTTGCATGAAATTTACTAAGGAAGAAAATGCCAAATCCAACACCATCTTGTTACAAGGTTCGATCGACATAGCCACAACTTCATTGTCAAAGAGACACTCGATCACAATGAGGGGCTGCCAAGACAAGAGTATAAGGTTATACTACCATCTCGTTGGTATGATTGTGGAAAGTTTCAAGCCTTTCGAATGCCTTGCTCTCATGTCATTGCGACATGTACGTATGCTCATCAAGATACATCACTACTTCTATCTCCCATTTACAAAGTCGAGACCTTGCTCAATGTATACAATGATGGCTTTCCAGTGGTAGCGAAACCAGATTGTTGGCCCGCGTACGAGGGGAAATAGTTTGACACAATGATCAAATGCGAAGGAATAAAAAGGGTTGTCCCAAAAGCAAGCATATCACAACTGGAATGAACTCCCTTGACAAGCTAGAAAGAAAGTGTGGCTTATGCCGCCTGGTCGGACACAATCGAAAAATTGTCTCACTCGTACTACTAGCTCGACAACATAAATATTATATGCAAACTATCTGCACTTTTTAAGATTTAAACTAAACTTTTTTCATTAAGAGCATTTATTACAACAAACCATACACAAACAACAAATAAAAATACATCACGACTAACACAACAACAAATACAACACGTAAATATAACATCAACAACACGATAAAATATCTAAGAAATTACAATTGTCAAAATAATTTAATCTAATCCATGTATCAGGATTGTTACATATCTGCATGTTTTGACTTCCTCCAACCAAGCACGAGGTCTTCCAATTGCAAGTGAGGTGGTTCTTCTTCTTCTCTGGATTCTTCTAATTTGTTCTTCAGCTTCGATGTATCCCTCTAACTATCACATCAACTCTCTCTTCAGATGCTCCATGAAATGAATGTGCCAAAATTTCATTTTCATCGGAGGTTTGATGACCGAGAAAATAATGTACCCATCTCTGGTGAAAATCATGAGAGATGCCAGGACGCAAAAAACAGAGAGAAAATGAGAAGAGAATGTGAGAAAGTGTGAAGAATGATGGAGAAATATGTGTTTTATTTATAGAAAACACACTTGTATGTAGGAGTCATCTCAGATAGCGTCTATTCTCTAAATTATAGAGTATGCGCCATCTCATATGACATAAAGGAAGTGTATGCGCCAAATGAGATGACGCCTAAGACCAAAGTTCCAATGTATGCGCCATCTAAAATAACTACTACTACATGATAACATTTTCTGAGCACATGATTATTTATGCATTTTTCTTCGAAACAATATTATTTGTGTAATTTTTTTTAAAACCTGTATATTACTAAAAAATTCTAATTATTACTAATGTGTTATTAAAAATCACCAACAATTAATAAAAATAATTTATTAAAAATAATGTATTTTTGTCTATTATTTTTTAATCAGTGTGTAAAAATTTTAAATAACATTTAATTTAAAATGAAGATAATGTATCCTTACATTAATGCAACTTAAAATTTTAATGTAATTTAATATAAAATATAATTAAAATCTATTTTGATAATTACATATTTAAAATTAATTTTGATTTAAATTATTCAAAACAACGTAAATAGATAAGAGTCAATGTTATCTAAATATTTTCAATCACAAATAAATTGATATCTATAAAACTTTTACTAAAGATAAATTTTTTTTCAAAATTAATTCTATTAAATCACCAAAAATAGATATAGATGTTTGAAAAATATGTTACAAGAGGTCATCCGCACATTTATCCCGTTAACAATGGTCAACTGAACTACCTAACCACCTCCAACAAAGATTAATTATCTACAGAAAATCTCTTTTTTTTTTTTAAATTGTGGTGGCAATGTCCGTAATTCGGGGAAACATTGACATCCATTTCCGTAAAAAAGACAGCAACATCCAATCTTTATTAAACCCCCTCTTTCACTTTCTCTCTCCCTCACTCTGGCGTCTTCGAGTTACATAGCGAAGTCGTAAAAGGTACTCTCTCTTTCTCTCTCTCTGGATCCCCAAATCTAGGGCTTCTTCTTTCTCTGCCAAATTTCATCAAAACCACTGTGTCAATTTTAGCTATCAAATCCCTTTCTTCTTTTTTCAAACCTTCGTTTTCAGTACAATTCAGTTCACATCTCTCTCTCTGCTGATTTAAGTTATTTCTTCTCAGTTAGATCTTCGATTTTGTTTTTCTAATCTTAGTTTTTATGCTGTTTTTTTTTTGTTCAATTTGTGTGAGTTTGTGTTTTATTTTTGTTATTGAGCTTGTTACCTTCCCGATTTGATGTTAGATTTGTGACAGTGTGTAATTGTGTTGGTTAATTGGTTATGGTAACTTCAATGTTATGGGGAATCGCATATAAGAAGCTTAATTATGTGGCAAATTTTTGTTTTTGTAAAAAAATTCGATGGAGAAAGAAGTAAAATTAGGAACTACTGTGCTCAATCATTAATGTCTTTGAGAGTCCTTTTTTGTGATTATAAGTTGGATTTTTTCCTTGGTTATTGGAAGTTAACTTTTTTTACTCATTTAAAATTGACAGAAATTGATATAATTAATGTCTTTGTTAGCTATTTGTAGTTAAATGTAGATGTTTATGTTCAATATTGATTTAATTAAATAATTTAAGTGGGAATTATAGTCTTTGATTTTATGATCTGTTTTAGATCTGGTTGCGCTGTTGAGCTTTGCCAGCACAAACTAATTTTGCTGGTTATATTGATGTTGTTCTAGGCTCTGTTTGGGCTGATTAGCTCCGATAATTTGTAGTTTATGATCAATAGCTAGTAGTTTATAACTGATGATTGATAGCTAGTAGCTTACACCCTCCGGACACATTTATAAGCAACAAAAATTATTCAATTTTTGGTCACTATTATAAGCAAAAGTCAATTATTACAAAATCATTTAATGTTGTAATTCCTAATATACCCCCTTTATTTCATTTTTCAACATTTCATTAAATTTAATAAAGAGGAAATTATAATAAATTTAATTAATGTTTTCTCCAAAATCTAAAAAATTAACTACACTTAATTGAATTTCTTAATAATCGTGAAAATCATTTTTGTTGCTTATAAATGTGTCTGGAGGGTGTATAGCTGATGATCGGTGATTTATAGGTGGTGATTTATAGCTGATGATCGGTGATTTATAGGTGGTGATTTATAGTCGATGATCGGTGATTTATAGGTGGTGATTTATAGCTGATGACTGAAAGCTAATGAGTTAATTTGAGTGTTTGGAAATTAGTGGATACATTAGCTGATAAGTGTAAAATGCTATAAAATGACATAAAAAGACATTCTATGCTCTTTGTTCTTCAAGAAAGAAGAGAAGAACTTTTTTATTGGCATATTTCTCTTTGTCTTTAATTGAAAGTTTGCGATGGTTTGTTTAACACTGAGTGGATGTGTTTGTGTATATATACGTTTGATGAAGTTATATATGCTGCTTCTAAAACTTAATTTTGGTTTCAGAAGATGGACAACATGCACAGCTTCTGGCAGTTAGGGGATGAGCTCCGCGGACACTCAAAAGCATCTGAGGATCACAAATGGTTAATGGTTGCTTCTAAGTTAGCTGAGCAGAGATCAAAGGCAGAGCGCTTTAACAACCTTGATCTTTCAAAGGGTCCCATTGAAACAAGGCCAAGAGATAAATTTGGTTTTCAGGAGGAGAACAAATTTGACACTCTTAACTTGAGCATGTTAAACCTAGAATCGAAATTTATTGAAAATATGAACAAAAGCTCGCTTCGGAATGGTGTTTACAATATGAATGCTGTGTACCAGAAAAACAATGCAAACATGTTGGGTAACATGAACAGTAACAAGTATAGTGGTAATGTTCAGCTCAACAAAGATCCACATAGCAATAACAATAACAACAATGAAAACAACACAAATGCTACGGACAAAAGGTTCAAGACTTTGCCTGCAGCAGAGACACTCCCACGCAATGAGGTGCTTGGAGGTTATATCTTTGTTTGTAACAATGATACGATGCAGGAAGACTTAAAACGTCAGCTATTTGGTGTGTACACCCTAAGTATAATTTACATTTCAATCTTAATAATTATTATCCATATACTTCCTGAAAACTGACTCTTTCAATATTTTTGGCAGGTCTGCCTCCAAGGTATCGAGATTCGGTCAGGGCAATAACACCGGGGTTACCTCTATTTCTTTATAATTATACTACCCATCAGCTGCATGGAATTTTTGAGGTGGGCTATGCTTTTTTTCTCATTATATAGTTAATTTCGTTATTCTTCAGACTGTGCCAGGAAGTACCATATTTAAGGGATATGCAGGATCAAAATTGTGTGCTTTTAAATGAAAGATACGAGGATAACACCCAAGAACAGTTGGGTGCTATGTAATTGAAACCTATTCTTGTGGCTTAAGAGCTAGAATTTTCAGCCAAATATAGGCATTGCAATATCTCTTTATGTTGGAATTCAAAAACTCCAACATAGAGAAGCAACATCATAGGGCATAGCTGGTGGTGGGATTACCTAGTTCATTGAATGTAAATGAATCTGTTAAAATTTGGCCTTGTTGTTTTTTGTCTCTCTCCATTACTTTGGTACTATTTGCTATGTTCTTCTGATTAGAGATACATAATCATATGTCTTTGAAAACATATAGGTTCTTTCTTGGCTTCATCATTATCTTTTTCCTCATCAATCCTTTGAAGATACGCCAAATGTGCTGTAGTCAATTTGCTAACCTTGAGACTTCTTGGTTGCAGGCAACATGTTTTGGGGGCTCTAACATAGATCCAACTGCATGGGAGGATAAAAAATGCAAAGGCGAGTCAAGGTTCCCAGCTCAGGTATAATGAACGATTTCATAGTGAAAGTTAATCCATATATTATTTTGAATTTGGGAGATCTTGAATGAATAATAGTGTTCCTCATCATTTGCAGGTAAGAATCCGTGTCAGAAAAATTTGCAAGGCACTGGAAGAAGATTCATTCAGGCCAGTATTGCATCATTATGATGGTCCAAAGTTTCGCCTTGAGCTCTCAGTTCCAGAGGTATGAGGGAATATTGCTTTTCCAGTTTCAAAAACAATATTTTCTGACATCGGTTTCCCATTATTTGTTTCTCTCTGATGAGGTGTGATTTCGACTTTTTCAGACCCTGGATCTAATGGACCTATGTGAACAAGCTGGTTCTGCAGTCTAAGCAAATAATCCATCATGCAAAATAATACATAGGTTTCAGTGTGCCTGCTGTGTGTTGTTGGCAGATTTTCCATGAAGCGTAAGCTTGGAAAGTAGTGTTTGGCGGATCATCTTTGTATAAGTTGGGGAGGTAACATGTTTGTCGAGAGTTTGAGCTATGTGCTAAATAAATGTTTGTTGTGTCCGCTGAAGCTGCATTGTAGCTATATTACATATACCATCTTATGATTGATTGCTATGGCATCATAGAGATTACTGTCTGTATTGTTAAAGTAATGTGTTTATGTTAAACCCGAAAAGAAAAAACATGTAAAAGCATTGTAATTGTGCACTCTTATATTGACTTGTTCGAAGTTATCTTACGTTTCATATATCCAGTCAAAATGATTGTGGAAGTTAAAATTCCTTAACTTCATCTACTATATAGATTGTTAGTATATGTTGGACATTAGGTGTCAAATTTAAAGTATTTACATTTTTATAACTATGTCGATATTAATTATAGACTTGATCTACTTGATAATATTTTTCAATTTATAGGTAAAATTAATTTAATTCATCATTTAGAAATAGTTATTAAAAAATATAAGTGTGCTAACACACCAATATATAAATTTTCTTGTTTTTCAAGTTAATTACGTAAATAATTAACTCAGATGGCTGGCTCCTATATGTCAAAATCAGGTGAACACTCTTATGTGTACATGAATATTTTTTCTTGTTTTTTTAATTAATATTAAAAATTAACCAAAAAAATGATACTAATATTTAAATTAAAAGGGTATTACGTTTGGAAAATAAGAAATACATTTATTTTAATGTCATGGATCATCATAACAGTCATCGATTCTGTACCGCGACGTTCTCTTAACTCATTGACCCACAACCCTTTGAATTTCCTGTTATATCTGGCCCATAACCCTTTTGAGTTTCTTGTTGTGTATGGGTTGATGACGTTCTTCTAACCCGTTGACGTGCAATTCTTTAAGGTTCCTATTGTGTTTGAGTCGATGGCCTTTGTAATACCTCAATGCGATCAGGATCCATGTATATTGTCTCGAATATCCGCTGTCAAAAAGTCAGTTGCCCATGCCATCAAAGCTTTGTCGTGGTGGGGGTGGTGGGTGATCAAAGGTTAATCGGTAATACTGGTTAGCTGAATCGGGTTGGAAAAAAGACAATGTTTCTCGTGGTGTGTTGAAGCCATATGGTTGCCTCTTGCTATGATCATTCTCTGAGATGATTGACTTTTACTCCACAGAATTTTCAAGTCTTTTTACTTTGACATGATCATGCTCTTCACTGATTTCTATCATGGAAACTTTTCTTACTGTCAAGCAAAAGCAAATGTTTGCAAAGAGAAACATCTTTGTTCTAAGAATGACAATTCTAATGCAAGGTCTATGTTAGTCTCGATGTTGAAAAACTTTGGTTGAAATGATGTCACAACTCTGTTGTGAACGAATCACTAGCTAGAGTGTAACATTTAAAAATATTTTTCTATAAAAGATAATGCAAACATATGATACCAACACAGATATTTAAGCACAACACTTATGGGTCAGTTAAACGTTATCTCGTTGTAGTACGTTTGTGAAATAAACTCGGCTTCAATTAGGACTTTCAAGGGTTGTAACATGATCTAGTTCACGGTTTTTTAGAAAAAAAGGATTTAAGGCTCAAAGTCTAACCTAACCCACTCATTCTCCGTGATGTTCTTCAGTTTTACGTTCAGTTAACTCAACACGAGTATTTATCTCTCAACAGGAAATCGAGATGGTTAAGGAATCAACGAGGTTTTTGGACACGACAACCACTCACCATTTGTTCTTTGGTGTCTGATCACACGACTTTGTTCTTTGTTTGAGGATTTTATTTCGTATTCCTTTTCTTTCCGCTTTTCATTCTTTTGCTTTTTTGCTTTTCCTAACTTTTGCTTGGACAAATTCTTTTGAATTTTGATTTTGAAATCCAACGGAATGCCCTAATTTTTGCCTAACTCACTTGCTTTCAAGCTTATTTGACTTAGTGGGCTTTCTTTCTTTCTTTTTCAATTTTTCATTTCTTTTTTTTCTTTGAACAAATCGTGTGATCCTGAGTCTTCTGACTTGCTGAAAAGTTATGACTGCCTCATTCCTTGGTAGATGAGGGATAATCATTGTAGTATTTCCATCTTTTGACCTCCTGATTTGTGAAGGATAACCATTGTGGTTGATCCTCGGATGTGCACTCCTTTTGAGATCTGAATGCTCGATCAGATTAACTGAACACTACCATGCCCTTGGGATAAAAATGAGTGTTTTTTCTAATTAGAAAAGAAACTCCTACTTCAAGGCTCAAAGGGGTTAACGAGGATTTCACTCCCTTATATCTCCGGTGTTTAGGAATTGAAACAATGCTTGTACATCATCAACAAGGCTTTATTCAAAATCATACAACCAGAGATTTTAACGTTTTTCAATTATCATCATACTCCCTCCAATCTTTGCATAAGCAATAAACTAGTAAAATTCATATCATTATGCAAGAAAAACCTTTCATGAGTGCAAACGAATGGATAACTTTAAGATAAACATACTCATTGCATTAAATTTAAAGTTAAAAAATAAATAAATTTTTACATGCTAACAATGTTTAAGCAAACAAGCCAGTTTACAAATGATAATGCAATAATGAACATATGATTACCATTGTTGAGGAGACTTGATTTCGTCTGAACTTATTGATTTTGACGACTTTCAGCAGCCCTGATGCTCACTTGGGAGAGAGATCCCACTTCTTACCTGGAATGAGCACAATGTCTTTTGAATTGATCAAATCTTAGACCTTGTCTCTGGATGACATATACTCTTTAACCGAATTTCCAGGTGCCCCAGAGTGATAATCACATCTAGCGTTAAGATCAAATCGCACAAGATAAGGAGAGATGGCATAATCCCACTGCTTGGTTTCCCCCAATGAACGCTCAAGAAATTTAGGGAATAAATGATTATGAGTCACATGAATTGTTTCAAACCCACTTGTTGGATTCCTGTATCCATGCATGCCCTGTTGCAGACGATTCTATTTATGGTTGTGATGCGGTAACACATACTGCATTGGCTATGCGCAAGGATGATATCGTTTCTGATTGAACCTCTGGTTCTTATGATCTGGGCTAAGCAAAGAATGCTGGAAAGGAACCTCCGAGAGTATAGGTTGTGGAAGAGGTGACCCAGGACGTGAGGTGGGACTTTGGAGACAAGAAGAAGCGACCATTTCACATGCTGCAGTTGGGGTAAGATTGATCCGTATGTTCAAACCATCTGGAGTAAACACAAATTCCCCTATATCAAGAAGGTCCTGGACCGTATACTTCCACGCATTGCTTGTCTGAACACCATAACCATATCGCCCAAAATAAAAGACACACCTAGCATTTGTATCAAAATCAGGAGGGAGGTTTGTGGTAGAAGGACCCAAAACACAAATCTTAATCAACTGAAGCTCAAGCAAGCGAGGATGTAACTGGCCATAAGGAATTGTGATTGAATTAACTTGAGGCTCATGCTTCTTCTGTCTCTGCTGATAAGCCTTGCCCCTCAGATTCATATGGGGAACAAGAACAAGCTATTGACGAGAAGGTCCAGGAACCTAATGTTGTGGAAGAGATCCACAAAGTGCTTCCCGTCTTAAAAGAGGTCCAAAAGGATGGGGGGAATAACAACTCCTTTTGGAATAGCATATACGATCACTTTCCTTTGCTAACACTGTCTTCAGAATTTCCATAACCAAACTTAACTGAGTCTTCAACAAATTGTTTTCCTCTTTCAAAAATCCTTGACCACGGGCCATAGCTTGCATATCCACCATAATCAGCCCTATCTGGCCCTTCATCTCATCCAGTTCCTCACGGGATTGTTCCATAGATGATCTATGAGCACAGAGCGGTGAAAAGTCAAGTATGCAATTTTGAAAAGAATGCCAAGTCTGAATAAGAATCCCCAACTCTGATTATCTGTAATGAATGCATGTTATGCATGAAGTGCATGAGTGTATGCAATGCCATGTTCGATCACTTCCAAGGAATCTACATGCTAAGATTTTAAGCAAGTAAGAGATGGAAAAGCTCAGCACAAGGCTCAAAGATACGATTCCTTGGAAATGAAAGAACATGCATGTTAAGATGATGTTAACAATGTCATGTATGTAAGGAATATGGGATCAATGTTCCATCAATTGTGAATAATTGTCGTGCTAATTTCTGAATAAAAGTCGAACGAATTAGGTTCAAAAGTTCGACGCTGTTTTGGAATCTGAGAAAACCGTGTAGGATAGAGGCATGTTTTCCTATAAATTCCCACCCCTCTCACATGTAGAGGTTCTAATCATGAACATGAAAGGGATTCCTAATGGTCACCAAAGTTGTTATCCCTCTTGTGTCAACACCACGTCTAGTGCATAAATGCAGAATAATGGAATTCCCAAGAGAACATCATCTGGGTGTGGTGTGTATGCCAACTCTTGCGTGTCAGACGCCACAAGAGTCAACATGGATATCCACTCTAATCCTATATGAATAATGGCCTGGGTAATATGCCTTTTACCTCAATAGTAACATCTCACTCAACCTGGAAAAGAAAATCCAGCAACCAACACAACAAATATATCCAACATATAGGAACAAGTAACCCAAATACAAACATGTAATGAAAATACAACAGGAAAGTATATGAATGTAATGCATAAAGAAAGTAAATCAAATAGATAAACACCCAATGAAAATAAAACAACCAAGAGCTAAGACTGACTCACTTAGATTGTCCCTAGTGAAGTCCCCAGCTGAAGAAACTAGGAAAATAATAAACAATAAAGTCGCCATCGGATATTTATTTATCCCGAGGAAGGAAAAGGAAAACATCTAAGAAATACTGAGAAGGGAAATCATGGTCTCGCGACCAAGAGAAGGGGTACGAGAGTCGACTATGCAAGATGAAGGTATTAGCATCCCTCACGTCTGTG